AAAAAAATGATATAGCTTATAGTCCTTTGTAGACGTGTCATCTGAAAAGTGCAGCAAAATGTACCCAGACAAAACATATTTCAGATTTTGCAGAAATGTTGCATATTCCCAAAGAGCCTTGGTTGCGACTAGCCTTTTACACGCCCCTGTCATTTATTTCTTGGATATATGTTTAAATACATGGAAATCATATTGGATTTCTTTTTTCAGAATAATCAGTGCTGTCAGGTTAATCTACAAAAATGAATCACCTTTATCACAGAATCGGCCCGCCCACCCGTCCATGCATGTGCACTGCCAGGGCTGATGGCAGGTGCCATGGACACATCCGGGCATTCGCACACAGTCTTCACACCGCGGTCCACCCCATCCCGGATCACACCTGCCACACGGAGGCTAGAGTTAACCCTACATGCCATGTTCATTGCATTGTTAATCTGTTTACCGTTTTCTTCTGCAATAGTAGTGCGCGGGAACAGGCTTGCACAGGTCAGATATACTTCAACATCATGACGCCTGAGAGCCACACAAGCCCATATTTCACTCTCATGAACCCACTCACCCGCAGTCACCGGTTTCAGCACACTTTCCATGGCCCAGCTCACACGTGCAGTTACTGGCCGAGGGTGGTGGAGATGTTTCTACTGAGGAAAATAAGACTGAAGAGAAGAGTACATTTAACATAGAGTTTGGTATATATTCGTCTTATTTTATTAGCTTTTGTTAGGTATCCTGTTGTTATTTTTTTCTTTTCTTTGGCCATTATAGAGTTCAGAAGTTACTGCATAACAGCATTTTCAATGATAATTCCTCTTCAAATTAAGTAAACAAGTCCATCAGATGACATAACGAGCTCTAGCTTGTCTGTGAGTTTGTCGCTTGTAGAAGGCATGTGCGATCAGTGTCGCTTTTCAACAGCTTATGTAGCATGTCGAGTGTGGTAAACAACAGCTAGCGCATACTAAGATGCACATACGCGTTGATCTTGCCTGAAGGAAAGCTAATTTATTGTGACAAACTTTCAGTGAGAGACAATCAGGGGAAGACAAACTATGGTATTTAATTAGTTATCTTAAAGGGATAGTTCACCCAAAAATGAAAAATGTGTCATCATTTACTCACCCGCATGTTGTTCCAAACCTGCATGAGATTCTTTCATCTGTTGAACACAAAAGAAGATAATTTGTTGTAAAAATGTTTCAGGGAGCCATTGACTGGGAGTCAATGGCTACCAGAAACCGTTTGGTTACCAAGATTCTTCAAATGATCTTTTTGTGCTCAGCAGAAGAGGTTTGGAACAACATGAGGGTGAGTAAATGATGGCAAATTTTTGGGTGAACTGTCCCTTTCATTTTCATTTGCTTTACTATCAGTACTCCATCCAAAGTACATTATTGCAGATTAATATAAAGTAATTTTAACAGTAATACAGTAAAACATTCATATTAATCTAATTACATTCATTATTGAGATTAATGAGTACAAATGCTGAATGGAACAAGTGTTATGAAAACTGCCAGAGTGGCAAAAAAAAAAATATATATATATATATATATACACACACACATATGTAAGTATATGTCATATATATATATATATATATATGTGTATATATATATATATATATATATATATATATATATATATGTGTATATGTAATAAAATATAGAAACATATTAATAAATTAAATATAATATAAATACTAAAAATGCAAAATGCTATTAATTTTAGAGAGAAAATGTTGCATGTTTTCATAAAAGTCTGACATCTGACCAGGAGAGTGGAAAGTTTATGCGTGTTCTTTTTCCATCCTTAATAATCTACATGTACTTTTATATGAAAAGTTTTATGAAGTGTTACAGGAAATGATTCACCCCGATCTCCATCATCACCAGCCCGACTGAGTGATTTAGCAGTCTTGGCCGTGCTTATCCAGTATTGGGTTTTGCGCTCCGGTGGATGTTAGTGCAGGGTGTGTATGTGTGTGTGTGTGTGTGTGTGTTGGGGGACGGCCAGGAAGCGCGTGTGTCTGTGGTGATGGGCACGAGGGGAGCGTGTGCGGTGGGAGGAGAGGAATGTGCTCATGTCTCCGCCCGTATGAGCTTTGCCCGAACATCACAAGAATTCACCATCGCCCAGGGCCCAACCCCTACATGCCTCCGAACACGGCACTCACAGCCAGCCTCTTGCATCACACGTCCCGTCTGCCTTTCCACTAGATGTACTAAATTATTCCTTATAGACAGGAAGTTGCGAATAATTATCAATATGCGAATCACATGTACACTTACAAGCAGTTTGTTTACCCCCCCATCCCCCCCATCTGACATGCTCACTTAATCGTGTGCCTATTCCGGATAAAGGCTGGTATGTGAGACACAATACGCGTGTAAGCTCATATTCATTCAGTGGCACTGGAATGGGAAGCATTTTCCATGTAATCTGGCCAAGTGTAAGACCTGTATTCCTGGAAACACAGAGCTTGGAACAATGCAAGCCTGGCTTTCCTGCGCTATCAGTGCAACAGCTGAAAAGTACAAACTGATAACCGAGAGCAGCCCAAACAACAACATGAAGCGTAATCTCTTTAAACATAGACAGCTGAAGGATTAGTTTCACATTTAAAACCGTGAGAATCTGTTCTCGTAATGATTCTTGTTGTACAATAAGACATGAATGGAAATGTTCTCCCTCTTGCTCAAAGGTAATTTACGTACACAGTGGGGTCCAAAAGCTTTTATTTATTTATTTATTTATTATTATTTAAACCTGGTGACCTATTTCTAGGTCACTAATCAAATTCTCCCTCTTGCTCAAAGGTAATTTACGTACACAGTGGGGTCCAAAAGCTTTTATTTATTTATTTATTATTATTTAAACCTGGTGACCTATTTCTAGGTCACTAATCAAATTTAAGCAAATTTGTGACATTGACCATGTTCACAGCCAACAAAAATATGTTCTAAGAATGTTTTTGGTAATGTTCCCAGTAAGTCATGAAAACATTATTCCTGAATGTTTAAAATGCTTTTTTTTTTTATGTTTTAAAAATGTTTTCAATGGTTATATGAACGTTAAGGGAACATTCCATTTGATCATTTTGCAAACATTACGGGAATATCACTTTTGAACGCTCTGAAACAAGTAGTATCATTTTTTCAAATGTTAGATGAGCATCCAACTAAAACGTTTCAGATAAAAAAAGCGTACCATGAATGATTATAAATAAATAGTTTTGCGCTAATGTTTTGAGAACATTAAAGCCCAGATAACTTGAAATGAACATTCTCAGCATTCATAACATAATTAACATTAATGTTTGTTAACTTTGAGAGAACATTTCTGAGAATTATTTGAAATGCTTTGACTCTAATTTTTTGGACTATGTTAAAAAATGACAAAATTATATATTACAGTTTGTCTGATATTTAAATTACGATTTTACCAGCAGTGAAGATTGGATAAGATTTGTATTATTTTGCCTGGCGCACAGAGAAATTACAAGTAAAAAAAAATTTTGCAAGGCAGAGTGTAAAGTAAGTTTTTTCTTACTTTAGGTGCTGTTTACACTATTTTTTTTTAAAAACCTGAAAACTTTTTATGAGTTTTGCCGTTCAAAAACTGGTTTCAGAGTGCCAGTGTTTGAAAACAACACTGTTATCATCTCCGTGTAAACTACAAACACATGAGTTTGTGAAAATGGTGAAGTCATACACAGCTGCTTGGCAATGGAAGCACATTCCATTAGCTCTCGCCACAAAGTATTTGTGCTGATTAGGAAGTTTGGAGCTCTTCAGCTATGGAATCAGCAGATTCTGACTTTATGTGGTCTTCCTCTTCGTGGCTGACTAAAACATTAATTTAATAGTTAATCGCAATACTTTTGTCCATATAGTGTATGGCCAAACACTCATGATATTAAAAACCAATTATACTGAAAGAACTTTTTAGTGGATCTGTAATTGCCCACACATTTTTCTATGGAGTGGGATTTCTCCAACTCGTGAGCGAGGGAGCAAGTGAAGAATGGTAATCTTAGAAATGCAACATATGTAATATGCGAAGTAGAACATTTGCACAATTCAGTATACACGCTTAAACGCAATATAGAAAGCAATTTTCGTATTTTCTTTCCTTCCTGTTGTCCACTTGCTCTCTGCATTTACTGCAAGTTCAAAGCATGCTTTGGATGACAAAGACTGGGAGTTGTTTAAATCCAGGTTGGAGACAGTGAATACTTCATACGCAGTAAACACTATAGAGTTTTAAAGAGAAAATGAGTCCGGGTGTGACAGCAAACAGAAGTCCGTGCTGATAGACAGATGTGGCACAAATAACCTCTTCTTGTACAAACTGGA